TTTCTTCAGTCTATCGCGGTCTCTCGTTTTATCTATCTGCATCAGTCTGCCTGTTTATCTGTCTGTCTATCTATATGTTTTTGTCTCTTTCGCGCCCTCTCACTGTCTGTCTCTGCTTCCATCTGTCAGAATGAGATGGCATGACTGTATTTGATGAATGTAGATTTTTGTATTTGGAAAAATAAAACCTGCCTTGAAAAAGCCTACTGCATTTAAACAAAAGAAACAACAACAAACAATTTAGATAAGAGCCGATATTATTTTCAGGGAAACAGGGTAACTGACAAAACAGTTCAGTTAGACCTCATTGTGTTAAACTGTTATGGTTTTTCTATTGTGAACTGTATATTCGTCAGGTGTCTGCGATCCCTATGACAGCGACTTTTGCAAGGAGAAGAATACTTTCGTATCCTGTGAGATGGAAGAGTTCCACTGTGACGCTATCAAAAACAAATCTCGTAAGCAATTTTTTTTTTTAATAGGGGCGCCGAAACAATTAAATCATTGGAGCCGGAATGTTCATCTCCTTTAAATTCTCTAAGGAGAATTAGAGAATGTGGGGAGGGAGGGGGGGGGTGCTCTTCAATGGTTTTAAACCCTTTTGTCTTTTTCCTCCCTCTACTCCTGGAATGTCTGGCGGCGTGAGGGCATGAAGAGATCTCTGGAAGGGGTCCTTCTGTACGTTTCGTATAAAGTGCTTTTCAGTTATTTGTTATTATTGCTGTATATCTTCTGCGTGGTTGACGTATGGCTTTGTTACAGCTGTATCTGTATAATATTGCTCTTTCAGGTGCCATGTCTGATTTCAAACTTGTTACATGTCAAAAGCATTTGATTTGTTTTCTACCTTTAAAGTTCAGAATTGGTTCTGTGACGACTCTCCTCCTGATATCATTGTTCCTAAGTCGATCTTTCCTCATTACATTTAGCATTGTATGTCTTCTTCTTCTTTGCGTTCACCAGCTGTACACTCTGGCGTAAAGTTCTGGTTTTTCGTCCACTTCTGGACCGCAGTCCTGCTCCAGAACCTGAGTGTTGCGTGTGCATCAGTTTTACAGATCTTATTCAATTGAATGCAGACTGCTGGTTATTTGCCTCTCAGGCAGATGCACTCCGACTTCAAAGGAAGCTTCCCAGTTAGTCGACTCTTACGACATGCTTTTGGGGAGGCAGTGGGTCTATTCTTGTTTTCCCTACAATAGGGCCCCGGAACCCACACGGGGGAGCATTGTATGTAAACCTTGTATTTCTGTCGTTACTATTTTCCTTCCATCTTCGGAAGACAAAGTCTGACTTTGATCACCTATAGTTGGTGAGAATATTATATTGAACAGTGTTCTGTTATTATTCACAAGCTTGCATTTCAAAATTGGTGCCATCTGGCCGAAAACTTGACTAGCTTTATTGAATCTTTGCTGGATTCCTTCATTAGGTTTCCCGCCTTCTGCAAAAAAATTTTTCCAGTAACGTAAAATCCGTCGCCTGTTTTATGCATGTGTTCATAAATGTTGATATTGGTGGTTCTTCCTTTTCTGGAGAATGTCATCATTTCTGTTTTGTCTACGTTGATCTTCATATCATAGATGTCGCATTTTGAGTGGAGTATATTAATATGTTCTTGTAGTTGTACTGCTGTAGGTGCTATAATTGCCTGGTCGCCGGCGAAAATCAGTTCATTTAGTAATTCTTCCACGTTGTCCCCTTCGCTGATGTTAGCTGATTTGTAACTTTGGTCGATGTATGTGATGAAAAATCGTGGTAATAGTACGCACCCCTATTTGACTCCAGATTTAATGAACAACTTGTCTGACATAAAAGGTTTAAACCCTATGTAATAATAATAATAATAATAATACTAACTATTATTATTATTGTTATTATTATTATGTGCTGAACGGAAATAGATATAAAACTTTTGAAATAATGTGACACGAAAAAAACAAATATTTTATATGATAACATGCAAAATTGTTTTCTATAAAGCACTGTTCAATTAGAGCAAGTGGTTAAATTGATATACAAAAAAAGACAAAAATAATGTATCGTATCATTTACTGTAAACACAAGATGAAATAATTTTCTTTACAATATTCATCCGCAATTGTTTACGACGACTAATAAAAGCGTGGAGCATCCTTGATATGTATATAAATATATATAACACTGATTGATGCCTTCAGAGAAGGGAATGCTGGTACTGATGTCAGATATCGGACTGATGGCGGTCTATTTAATCTCAGATTGCTAAGTTCTAAAAACAAGGTAAAGTTAAACACCATTAAAGAATAACTTTTCGCTGATGAGTGTGCTATTTATGCCAGCTCACAGCCTGAACTACAACCCTGAACTACAACATGATCTAGAGATCAATACAAGAATATCCAGTAGCGCACTTGGTAGACTTCGTACAAAAGTCCGGAACAGAGCTGGCATCAACCTGCAGACGAAGCTCAAAGTGTACACAGCTGTCGTACTTCCTTTTCTTCTCTATACGTATGAAATATAGACCATTTACCAGCGCAATGCTAAGAAGCTGAACTATTTCCACACAGTAGTCTTCAGGAAGTTGCTGAACATAAAATGGCAAGACGGGATCTCTCTGAAGTTCTTGACAGAGCTGGACTGCCCAGGATTCACTTAAAACAATGACTACTTTGCTGGACAAGTCATATAGATGTAGTCCGCATGCATGACCACCGACTGCCAGATATAGTTTTCTATGATGAGCTACACACACACACACACACACACACACACACACACACACACACACACACACACACACACACACACAAACGCTGTCAAGGTGGACAGAAGAAACGTTTCGAGGACAACCTCAAGACTTAACTGATCCTAAAACATGGAAAGTCGCTGCATGTAACTTCTTCCTCTTCATCGAGTAGCTGTGGCCCATGAAGCTGCTAGAACTGCACAGCAGTTTAGACAAGAGAAGAGTCAGGAAAGTCATTGAAGCAAATCACCAGAGATTGCCTCTCCACACTGCTCAAGAACTGTCAGTGCTAGAATTGGCCTTATCAGCCATTTACGCCCTCGCAGAGCCTAATTCAGTCACCAACGGATGGAACGACTGGTCATCATCACCTTTATATACATATACATAATACGCGACTGAATCAAATGTATACAGGTAATGGCTTAGACTGCTGCTTACTGTGATTATAGCATAGCGAAACTGTATAAAGGTGATTGCTGGGTAGGATGCGATGTAAAGTTTGGGCTTCACATATCCTAGGCTACGACTTACGAAGTCGGATGGTCAGCTCTTTTTCTGCTCGCCTTTTCTTCCCATGCGCATTTGATTATTCGAATGATTATTCCAGCTATTTTCTACAATGATTGTTAGAAGAAATAAATAATCTCCTGCTTTCTCTCATGTTTTCTAGTTGTGACCAGCATTGACCTGACATTTACTGAAGTCAAGATCCCTCCAACGGAGACCAACTACTACTGCATGTCCTTCGACCTGCCCAACGACCAGGATTACCACATCGTAGCCAACGAACCTGTTATCTCGAACCATAAAGTCTTGCATCACATGTTGTTGTATGCATGTGATAACTGTAAGTCTTTTAAACTACTTGTTGCTGTTGTTAATAATTATCACTATTTTCCCATGTTCAGTTTAAAAACTATTCGGACCCATGTCGCACTGTTGTATCTAGTTTCACAGCACTTCTCAAACCAGAAAGTTCAAGATTGCATTGTGATTACCCGGAAAATTTGATATTTACCACATGCTCATTTTGTTTGCACAACGCGGATTTATACATTTTTGTGCACATTCGTTAAAATAATAAATATGCTAGGTGTTGCTGCTTGTTTGCTCTTTGTTAATTTGGTTCGAATCCACCTCGAGTCCGAAGTTTATGAAGTGACTTGGCCATGCTGGTAGACTTCTAAAATGTTTATCGGTATTATAACTTCATAAACTTTCGAGTATGAACTGGTAGATGAAAATATGGGAGAAGTATTAACAACCCACTGTATCTAAGATGTGAAATGAGTCATTTTTACTGTAGTTTTATTTAATATCGCATTAGCTGCCGGTACACGTATTATTTATCCTCTCCACTCCTTTATTTTTCTCTGCTTCTCTCTCTCTCTCTCTCTCTCTCTCTCTCTCTCTCTCTCTCTCTCTCTCTCTCTCTCTCTCTCTCTCTCTCTCTCTGCCCTCTTCATCGTTTTTATTTGTCATAATCATCATCGTCATTATCATCATCTTCTTCTTCTTCTTCTTCCTCTGCTGCTGCTGCTTCTTCTTTTTCTGATTGTTTCTACTACTACTACTACTGTTAAAACCACCACCACTACTACTACTACTACTGGTAGTAGTACTACTGCTGCTGCTACGACTACTACTAATTCAGTTACTACTTCTGTTCTCCTTTCTTTCTTTCTTTCTTTCTTTCTTTCTTTCTTTCTTTCTTTCTTTCTTTCTTTCTTTCTTTCTTTCTTTCTTTCATTCTTTCTGTCTTTCTTTCTTTCTTTCTTTCTTTCTTTCTTTCTTTCTTTCTTTCTTTCTTTCTTTCTTTCTTTCTTTCTTTCTTTCTTCTTTCTTTCTTTCTTTCTTTCTTTTCTTTCTTTCTTTCTTTCTTTCTTTCTTTCTTTCTTTCTCTTTCTTTCTTTTTCTTTCTTTCTTTCTTTCTTTCTTTCTTTCTTTCTTTCTTTCTTTCTTTATTCTTTCTTTCTTAAAATAGAAGATAATCGACTAAGTGAGCATGATAGCTTAATCTCACACACACACACACCTTTAACATGTTTTTATTTACAACTGTCTCTAACCCACTGAAAGATCTCACCATTCCACTAAATATTTAGTCTATTTCAAAGCAATGAACTCATTGTGATATAAGGGTCCTTCTCCATCCCTCTAGAAGAATGAACTGAGAAATTTTTTGGTATTAAAAGAGTGAAATGCTACAGAAGGCTCTATAGAAACTCTTCCTCCTTCTCCAGCTACCGATGTGTCCATTCTGGCACCAACCTTCTGTGGAATGAAAGGATCACCTAACTGCCTGACTCTCATTGGAACATGGACCGTGGGAGTAAGCGGGTTCTGTTACGGTAACAGAGCTGGCTTCAAAATCGGCAAAAATGGTTACACCAAAGCAGTTCTTCAGGTAAGTTTATCTTGAATTTCTAAAACCACACCCGGCCGGCGAGATGCTGACCACATCACCCATCAAGTGCCGATTAGTCTATAAAATATAGGTCTAGCCCTATATACCCATTAGCCTTGAGGCGTGGAAAAGGTCTGTTTGAAATATACTAAAGAGACTTAAGCATTTGTTTGTATAGTCTTAATAATACAATTAAAACCACGACTAATATAAAGACGCAATTAATATAATAAATATAATAATAGGATCTTATGTTTTTTCTAAAACCTTATTGTTAAAACGATATACAGTATATTTTAAGTTATGAACTGCAGGTTCAGAAAGTGACAAATAGTCAATTGCTATACATAACTGGTGGTGAACATAGTTTGGGATGAATTCAAGAAGGGTAGAGAAACACGAGAAACGTCTAGGTAACCACTAGAAACAACAGTTATTAGACAAGCAAGACTAAACTATATTAAACACATCCTGAGAAGAAACGAGCACAAAATCATCCCCCCTCCCCCTCACAACGCACCCAAAAAAAAATGTTTTTTAAATTCCATATATGGGGAAAAAACATAACTGAGGAAGCGAGTACGCGCCAAAAAAAAAAAAAAAACCTAAAACGAACGTTCGTGAAAGAGGGCAAAGGCGCTGGGCTGGATTCCATTCCTTATGTCGAAGGGATTTCACGGGACAAAACCAACCCAATGGAGGAATCGACTGCAAGCTCTATTAAGATATGACACAAAATCACAATGATGATACTGATGTTGACGACGATGATGATGATGATATAGATTCTAATAGATTCTAAAC